CATAATCCATTCACTGATAATAAAGACTTTTAATTATCGGCATTACTCTTTCTGAAAGGCTATTCCAGAATCTCTTGCATCTCAGAAGTAGAACCCTAACTTCCATCTAATATTTATTTATGATCATACTGTTGAGTTTCAACATATTCTTCTTTTTCTAATGCTCAAGACCTTCTGATTGCCAGTGCTTTCAAATCTCTGCACCTCCTTTTTGCTCAAAGACAGCTGAGAAACAGGAAATAAGATCAGTCCTGGAGAAACTCTCCTTACTATCTCCCTTCAGGCTGAAGAAGGGATTTAGACAATACATACCTATTACATACCACTTCCAATTTCTTTAAGTGCAATTTTCTCTGTCTTGCCTTTATGTTTCTTATTAGATATGGCAGTATATCAAATTCCTTACTTAAACACCAGATAGAGTTTGTGTTTTCTAGATCAACTATCAAAAGAAAATATTACTTTGGATTGGCACAATCTACCCACCTTCTAGTTCAACCCAGCTTTTATTTATCTTTAAGCCTTTCATAATTATTTTCTTTAATGAATCTTTCTAAATAATGTCATGAAACTTTGCATACTAAGAGTTGAGACTAAAAAGGCCTAACATATTGGATAACTCTTTTAGCCCATTTTTCATCCATTTCACTATTAGTGCTACCCTTGCCAATCATCCATCCTGTAATAACTATTTTCCAGTGTGAAAGTTGTATTATAAATTTTAGCTATTGGACCTTACTTTCACATTTAGCTCATTCACAGATGGGGATAGCGATTATCCAGCACCCTGACTTAACCATTTAAAACTCGATGAATTTTGCTATCAGAATTGGTATCACAATACCAATACTTTCTTCTTTCGTAACCCAATCTCCATGAGATGCTTTTTCTCTTCTCCTATGTCCAGTATCATTACCTTCACTCTACAGGAAAGCAACTTATTTTTTCAGCTTAAGAGCCATACCTAATTACCTTTAATATCTGCTGCATCCTATCTGCATTCTAATTCTAACCTTTTATTTGCTTTTGCTTTCTAGTCTATTTATTTCAATGTCTTCTGTATGTGTATATATATATGTACACGTAAGCTTGACTTCTGGTCATGCTCTAAATTTTCACTACACCTTTGTGCATCTCTATTTTTGTATAAACATGTATGTGAAAGAAAAGAAACATATTTTCGCAGCTAGGGATAAGACTAAACAAATAGATTTCTGTCAACACATATGCACAAACACTTAAATTACTATTTAAACAACAATTAGATTCTGAAAACATAAATAGTCAATATATCCACCTTATTACAAACAAATGCTGAAAAAATAACTAGAAGCTGAGATCTTTAAAAATACTATGGGAGGAAGCTGGGAAGCTGGGAGCTGGGAAGCTCCTACTCTACTGAAACTTCACCCTTTGGATGAACTTTGGTTTATTATGTTATTTCTCGGTAAAATCACTGAACATAGGCCCAGTGATTTTGTTACTCTCAGCCTGCTCTCCTGTCTATCAATTTAATGTGAAAATTCCTTTCTGATGTCTTCTCTGGCTTCAGGCTTTTATAGAACAAATGCTCTGCCATATTAGTAAACTACCAAAGAAATGTCCCAGAAGATGGCTCTCACAAACAAATCATCATGCAATTCTGAGTGAACCCTTTGTGCAAAATCTGTATGTTTTTAATTTTTAACAGAGTTAAAATCTTACTAGCTTGGGTGGTTCCCTGCTGCCTGATCAGTTTTCATCTCATTATGCCCAGCATTAGCCTTCAGGATTAGCTCACAGTTAACAGTATGCTAAGCTTGACATGGAAGAGGAAAAAAACCTATTAAATTTGATCTTCTAGTACTCCCCAGAGAACAACAACAAAGTAATTTACCCCCTTATTAAGGAGGTTATTCAGGGCAAAGCAATCAACATTTAACTACTCTCTGCCCTCTTGTGCATAGATATTACCTATTAGTGCACCATGTTTTAATGTAGTGTTAGCCTAAAAGCAATATTTGGGGACTTATCATATTGGCAGTTTAGTTTTCCTAACTGCATTCTTGTGAGAAAAGGCAGCAAGAGAAATATGAAGATTAAATTATTAAGACATAATTCATTTTCCTGATTCTTAGGCATGATTCTTTTATTCTGCTTATCCCAGCTAATGAAAGTCAGATTCAATTAGTTTTTGTGATTTGACACAAAAAGGCTTACCAGCTTTCACAAAGGATTGTAGAAAAACATTTTCTGAAAGCCAAAGCTCGCTAGCTATTATTTGAAAACGTAAGACAGGAAAAAGATATCACCAAAATGGTTGGGCATATAAGAAAAAAATACTATGCTGTCCTTTCATATCTCAACTGAATTTGATTTTTGCACAAGACATTTTAATAGCGAGTATTACAGATGGTCATATAAGACCTCAAATTCTAGACACAGAACAAGAAGTAGGCCTAACAGATTTGAATTTATGCACTGCAGCTTCCAATCAAACAGTGGAGTCATCTGTGTCCACTGAAAAAATACGCTTCAATGACAGTTGTTTCGGAGTTTCACCCAGTTCAGGAAACTCTTCACTGCCCCTTGTCACCATTAATTTCAAATGCCCCATGATCCAAGGGCATTGCAATCAGGTGTGACTGACAGGACTCTCTGGCTAAGTCTAGACTAAAATGTTCTAAGTCTACACTGAAATGTTAAACGGGGCTAGGACCCAGGCCAGAGCACTGGAGCTCGACCACTGATGCTCTTAAATTGTCCCTGGCACGCCCGAGAGTCAATTGAGAGTCAGTTATGACTCTCCCAAACAATTTGCAGGCAGAATTTGGAGGTTAACATGAGTCAAGGACCATTCGCACCCAGCAAATAAGATGCAACTATCCTGTTTTAGAGGCTAAAAGGACTTTAAAGTATAGGCATCTTTAGGCTGGATCAGTTGAGCCTGATGCTAAAGAATGGACCTGGGCATTTGTTCATTTTGAGGACAGAAGTTGCCTCTGAACCCATTGGGAGAGGTCATACAAGGGCTGGTAATGGATTTTATTGGCATATTTTAATGGTAAATCATTGCTTTCTTACAACTTTCTTAAAACCTAGCAAAAGAGACATTTTCTTTTATGGGAAGATTATGGCTTGAACTGTAAGTGGACATTTCTTTTTTTACCGTTCAAACTAAGATTTAAAAAAAAGGCATATGATAACTGGGATTTTCAAAGGGATATATGTGACCGGAGTGTCTACCTGCATTTCACTGTTAGAAAAGACCACACAAGACGACAATTACTTCTTTAAAGGTACAAGGTTAAAAAGGGTCTGCAGATAACCTTCTAGAAAAATTCATGCCAAAACACAAGAAATCTCTGTTCTAGTTGTTATCACTTACAGGGGATTTATAAGACTCGAAAGTTTTTAAAGGGAGTATCTCTGGATCCTAATTAATACCTAGCAGCACATATGTGGAAGAGCTTGCGGGATACAATATAGACTGAATACATTAGAATAAAATAAGTTTCACATAAGCTAGTGCTGCTTGACTAAAATTTACTGTGTCAAACAGAGAAGGTTTCCATTTCATCTGTGCAGCAAATTTGAGTTGAATTCATTATTAAAGAGAAGACAGAAAGCTGAATGGGAAATTCAGCAGAATTCCCATTAATTGAAGTCCACCTTGGAAAAATGAGCTGAAGGAATAGTGAGGTTGGAAAATATGCAGCAACGATGAGCATCATGGGATTGAATAACGCCAAAAGACAGTAGAGCTGAAGCCCATGAAATGCAAGTTGTGCGTATCAGTATTGTGTTAAATAGAGGACACACCCATCCGCATACACAGAAGCATACGGCGATTTTAACTCAAGTGAAATTAATCCTGAAGTCACAGGATTATCTCGATTACCATATGTTTGCATTCTGATATCATTATTAAATAGGAGAAAGAAGTAGACAAAGCATATCTGCATATGGCCTCCACATTCTTTTCAGCGGGACAAGTTCCACCTCCTTTCTCAAATTTTAGGCCTTTCAGGCAAGAAAAGCTTGCAGTGTTTCCATGCTGATGTTTGTTGCCCTCCCTGTGATTAGAAACTGTATCACCTTGGTGGCCATCACTAATAACAGCCTCTACAACTACCCTCAACAAAGGACTGAGAGGAGTCTTGGCAGGAGATAGAGATGTTAAAATAAAAATCTAAGAAGAAGGATCCTCTGGAAGCCCCCAAGGCATCACATTACATTAAAATGTTTAGTGCAAATAATCACACACAGTCATTTACTTCTTACACCTCTCATGTAATTCTCCCATTTGCCTGCCTGGGCAGCTTCCTGCATGTGATTTCTGTGATCTCCTTACCGGTTAGCGATCCTAAATGTCTTTGCAAGTATTAGGAAGGACATTTAAGCAACCCTTTTCTACAGCAATTCATTGTAAATACTGCTAGGCAGATAAAGGGAGAGGTATATAATGCTTAGGAACCACACTAGAATTGCCGCAAAGGCTATGGTGTTTCTCACCGGAATTGAGAACAGCAACATTTTGTACAGCAGCATTTGGATGATTTTATATTTAGAAATGCAACCTCACTTGACAATGACTTTCTGAAGGATGTGCGTGGAGAATTAAAAAAAGACAACAATCCAGAAATACTGCTTGAAGAAGAAACCTGGGACTGTTTGCTGTAAGTTGACTTATGCATTCTATAACAGCCCATAAACAAACAAAATCTGGGACTGATGCTAATAAACAGTACTGTACTTAATCGACCTTAAAAATAAGGTTCCAAAGTGAAGATTCCAAACTGTGAGGAAAGCATACCTCTCAAAGGTTTAGATTATTCTGCTATGGGAGGCAAGTCATTTATAAAAACTAACGTATTTTACATTTTGTGTGATAGAAGCTATTTTTCTGTCCAGTTACAGCAAACTGGAGTCCACCAGTCCCCAAGATATTTGGCTTTAATCAAGATTTAATTATTTTGGGGAATAATTAATTTTAAAACAACTCTTTGAACAACACCTACTTGAGGTCTTGGGAGGGTTCTGCTCTGATATGGGGTGTCTCCACAGAGTGCCCAAACACTGCCCCTTCTGTGCCTAAAATACATAAATAAAATACAGTACAATTATTTTGGAAAATAAAAAACACATTCAAATGTATGACCACAAATTGACATTTTTAGGACAAAACATTTGATTGAATCTTTTATTGCTTATCAATGTGTCTTCAGATTTCCTATTTTTGCATTAAAGAAAATAATACTATGTCAAAATCTAGACTGCCTTCACTTGAAACCATAGAATTTTGCTTATTGGTAGATGAAGTTTCACATACAAATATGAAAACATTTATAGATCCAAACTTCTCAACACTGACTTGCCTCAGTATGCATCTCAACACTTTGGAGATGGGCCATTTTACAGATAAGGAAAAGAACAACATATGTTTGATTGACAAAAACTGTAGTCTCATTTTAGAAGCATTTACTATTTTTGTATGATGACCTACATTGAGATACCAAGTTTTTCAAGGTTTTGACATATTGGTCTTCTATCTGAAGTTGCTAGCCTGAATCTCTGACAGCCTTAGAGAGTCTCCTTCCATCAGATCTTTCTTAGGCACTCAAAATCCAAGGCAAAGAAAAATGGGTGAGTATTTCCTAAAAATGAACTGATTCTCCTTTGAATCTTAATCTCTATAACTAGGTCCAAATTTCATACAAAAATGCTACATTTTGAATTACATTATCATGATTTTTCTTTGAAATCGTTTTTCAGTGAAAAATTTAGGGTTCTGATAAATATTCTGTGAAGATATTCAAATGAAATACAAATATTTACATAACTAATTTTTAAATATAAAGGTTTATTAAAAATACTACAGAAAAACAGCAAAAATTAATGAAGATTTGATTAAAGCGTGCACTTCTTTTGCTAAAATAACTGAAAATTCAAGAAACTGACACCTAGCGAACAGCACTATAACATCAGCATTTTTCCACTCAGACACAAGGACTGAATGCATAACCATTTATATCACCCCTTTAACATTTAATAGATAGCAATAACCTACCTATATTGTTAGTCATTTAAAAGCTTATGCATTCTTTTTTGTACCCCTATACTCACATCTCTTTTTGTTTATTGCTTTTGTCTAGTACCATAATTTATTTTTGTCTTCCACTTGTGTAAACTTACTTTAGCCTTTTTCAAAGCAATAGTCATGTGCCTGTAAGCTTTTAATTTCTGTCTTTAAAGATCGTATACTGGGCAAGCTGTAAGGAAATTAGAACTATCATGGGAACGATTTTCCATTGGAGAATTGATTGTAAAGAAGAAGGAACTGAATGATAAAGATACATCTAAATCAGATAATGTATTTACCCTCTACCACTAAAAACAAGACTGAAGAAACTGTCTGAGATAGTTATAGCTGCTTATATAGCTTGCTTATATACTGCTTATTCCGTAGTAAGCTGTAATAATCATTGCAGTAATAATTGCTGTATTTCAAGGACAGAAAGCTTTATTGTTTTGAGCCCTGTATTTTGTGTAAAATGAAAAATATACCAACAATATCTTATCATACCTGTGAAAAAAGTAGTCAACACAAGAGATGCATCACTCTAATTGTTTCAATATTTTAAATACAATACAGTATTTACATATTTCACAAATATTTTTAGATATTTTAGCAGTTAATTGACTTATACCAATAATATTTAGAAAACTGATCCTACTAGCAGTGGAAAGCAAAAGCAGGCTATCTATTTAATTTATACTACCATTTTACAGCTTTAAAGAGAAAATGTCCTGAACATGAATCCCTACAAATCCCCAATGAAACTAACTAAACATCAAATTAACTTAATATGTCAAAAAGTCATCATGGTTAGTCTTCTATTTTCAATAAAACAAAACAAAACAAAACAAAACACTTCTAGTTAGTGTAAAATACGGGACTGGTATGGAGTACCCAAGGAGGGAAGAGGGGATTTCTGAGGGTAGCAAGTAATGTCCTCAGTTTTTATCTCCAGAAACCTATAAACACTACGAATGTCTCGCTGAAAACAATTTCATGATTTCATTACAGCTGCTGCTTTGGAGACGGCACAAGGAAACAACTGTGGTAGAAACTACTTTCTGTAAGTAAACTTTGCTGAGTGCTATGGAGAACCACTGGAAGGAAAAAGCAGTATATCTTTTCACCTAAAGGTATTTACAGAGGTGCCAGGTGGAATCTGCTTTTTAAACCTGTTATTCTTTTGTAATTCTACTCCCTTGAAGAGACAGCATGTCTGCATAGCCAAAATTTCTGTAACTCAAAACTGAAATCTTTCTTACCTCTCTCTATAGTGGCACGTCAGAAATTCTAGTGGAGCTGAATACCACGCATCAAAGACTATGTTTCCAGATCTTCTTCACCTCCTTCACCAGCAAAATCAAACACTTTCAAGGCCAAGGGCTCTTTTGCATTTGTGAAGGTGGAAATGGGATTTGAAGATGTAAATAACTTTTAACAGGGTGCAGAATTGTCAGTCTCTCCTTATGAGAAGACCACAGACGTAACCTCTGAAAGAGCAGAATTTATGCAAAGATGTATAAAACATCTCTGCAGTATGGGTCAGACATCAGACTCAGAAGAGCTAAAGATAATTTTAGGCAAAGACTGACAATGAAAGATAAATGACTACTGGTTCTAAGCCAACATTAATAGTTTTTCACTTTCAGCAACAGAATCACAGAATCACAGAATCGTTTAGGTTGGATGGGACCTCTGGAGATCATCTAGTCCAACCCCCCTGCTCAAGCAGGGACCTCTAGAGCATATTGCCCAGGATCACATCCAGACAGGTTTTGAATATGTCCAGGGAAGGAGACTCCACTACCTCTCTGGGCAACCTGTTCCAATGCTCTGTCACCCTCACAGTGAAGAAGTTTTTCCTCAGGTTCAGATGGAACTTCCTGTGGTTCAGTTTCTGCCCGTTGCCTCTTGTCCTGTTGCTGGGCACCACGGAGAAGAGGCTGGC